AGTCTATGGCAAATATTAAGTTCTACAAAAATGTTTGCTGTTATTAGTAATAGTACTAAAAGTATTCATATTATTAACAGTCAGCCTCTGTGAAAGCTTTCACCCTGGATCCAGTTAGGAGATCCACAATCCAATAAACCCAGCATCCTACTAACAGCTTAGCCACTGGGAAGCTGTGTGACCTCAGGCAAGTTACCTCCCCTCTCTGAACTTGCTTTTATTTTTCTGTTGTTGTTAGGTGGTGTCAAGTCGGTTCCAACTCACAGCAACCCTATGTACAACAAAACGAAACACTGCCCGGTCCTATGCCATCCTCACAATCATTGCTATGTTTGAGCCCATTGTTGTAGCCACTGTGTCAATCCCTCTTGTTGAGGGTCTTCCTCTTTTTCACTGACCCTCTACCTTACCAAGCATGATGTCTTTCTCCAGGAACTGGTCCCTCCTGATAACATGTCCAAAGTAGGTGAGAGGAAGTCTCGCCATCCTCGCTTCCAAGGAGGACTCTGGCTATACTTCTTCCAATACAGATTTGTTCCTTCTTCCGGCAGGCCATGGTATATTCAATATTCTTCACTGACACCATAATCCAAAGGCACCGATTCTTCTTTGGTCTTCCTTATTCATTGTCCAGCTTTCACACGCATATGAGGCAATTGAAAATACCATGGCTTGGGTCAGGTGCACCTTAGTTCTCAAGGTGACATCTTTGCTTTTTAACACTTTATAAAGGTCTTTTGCAGCAGATTTACCCAATACAATATGTCGTTTGATTTCTTGACTGCTGCTTCCATAGGCGTTGATTGTAGATCCAAGTAAAATGAAATTGTTGACAACTCCAGTATTTTCCTCCGTTTATCATGATGTTGCATATTGGTCCAGTTGTGAGGATTTTTGTTTTCTTTATGTTGAGGTTTACATAAACCAAAACCAAAACCAAAACAAAACAAAACCCCAAACCTGTTGCCATTGGGTCAGTTCCAACTCATAGCAACCCTATAGAATGGAATAGAACTGCCCCATAGGGTTTCCAAGGCTGTAATCTTTATGGCAGTCGCAGACTACCACATCTTTCTCCCGAGAAGCTGGCGGGTTCAAACTGCAGACCTTTAGCAGGTGAGCGTTTAACCACTGTGCCACCAGGGCTCAAGGTTTATCTATAAACTGTGAATTACAATTCTAATTACAATCGTATCCATAATAGTACTTCTAGGTTGTTCAGCCACATTAAGCAGGGATGACCGGTGAGAAGCTTCTACTTAATTAGGCCCTTGTCTCAATGCTGTGCCTAAATCCTTCTCCCTACCCTACTCCACCCTCCCTCCCACCCCTGCAGGAGAGGGCTCGGATTCCCTCCTGCTGGGCGCGGGGCGGGGGCTGCCCGCGGCCGAAGCCTGGCCCTATTTCTGGGGGCCGAACCATCCCGAGGCCATGCCAAGCTTCCCCGGGGATCAGGTTTCTGCTGACGCGGTGCCAGGCACGTCTGCTTCCAGGAACCGGCAGCCGCATTTAGCCGCGGGCCGCACATGAAAGGGCTGCAGTCGGAAACGTGACGTTGTGTCAACAGGGGAGGCAGGTCAGCGCTGGGTGAGACTATCCCGGCAGGCCCGGTGGAGCTGCAAGGATCACGCCCTGTCTGAGGGCAGCCAGATCTCAAGCCTCCTCTCTCCTGCCTCCTGCCACCTCTCCTTGGCCCCAAAGCCAGGCCTTCACCCCCTCACACTCACACACCCCCATTTTTAAACAGAGGCCCTCTTTGTCCCAAATGGGGAAAAGGCTGGGGTGCAAGCTGTCCCCCCGTCTTCCCCCCCGCCACCTCCCTCTACCCACACTTGGATTCTGCTGAAACAGGGCTAGAAGGAAGGGCAAGGCGGATTGAGAGGCAGAAAAGGAGGCAGAGGGGCAGCCGCAACCACCGGGGGTGTTTGATGCAGGTAGACTAGGATGGGGGATTCTGGGCTGACTACGTGTCAACCCTCAAATCTCTTTTTAGTTCAGGTTGGTTGAACCACTTCCTTCTGTCCCCAGAACTACTCCTTGAGTCATGGGCCAGGAAAGAGAGGGGCATGCAAAAGTTTGCCTTTATTTCAACTTTGGCTCCTTCACCAGGATAAACTTGACATGTTTGGGTTTTTACAGAAAAAGTCTAGCCAGAAAAGCCTAGCAACTTGTGGAGGGTTTCAGGGGGTTAGTAGGCAGGAAACCAGGAGGCTCAGGCCCTGAGTTGCTGGGAGAGAGAGACTGACAGAATTTGCCATCTGCCTGATATAGGACGTGTGAGAAGGTCGTTCTCAGAATCCTCATTTTACCCAGTCAAAAACCTGCTCTGAGGAAGAGGTGATAGGCCATCAAAGACTGGACACAGATTCAGGGATCCTGACTCCCAATCTAGGTGGGTCTCTGTCCACACCACTCCACCAGGGACAATTGTGCCTTTTACACCATGCGTTTGTATCTCACACCAGGAAGGCAAAGCTCATTCTCAGCCTGCTGGCTCATCAAGACACAGGGAAGGTGACATTTGAAGCAAACAGTCCTGATTGGCAGGTGGTGCCTCTGCCTGGCTAAGAACTTACTCCCTGGGGGCAGTTTCCCTGAAAGGGCTCCAGACAAGCAGTGGGTTCTGGAAGACTCAGACGCCATGGCCGCTGGAGTGTGGCAAACCAGGCACTGACCATCAGGAAACATCAGGACACCTGTGAGAGGGTGTATCCGACAGGAATGCTGCAAATCAAGGTGGAAAGGAGAGGCAAAAATACCCGACCTGGTTATTTCCCACTTTTTTTCCCAAGAAATTTAAAATTTTTTAAAAGAAGAGCAATTGACTAAGGAACACCAATATTCATTCACACACAAACACACCCAATGAGAGGAAGTCCAGGAAGGATGTAGAAAATAATTATGGAATGTCGCCTCCAGCAACGAAAAGGCAGGATATGGCAAATCCATTAGACCTTGCTAGATTTGAAGTTACACTGCCTTGGCAAAGAGGCGCTATCCCCAGCGTCAACCGCTATTGCACAACAATCCATTAAATGTTTTCTCAACGTGCCTACCCCCCCAGTGAGCTCCCCAGACATTCCCACACACAATTTCGTACCTTGGTTTGCCTTCCAATTCTAAGGACCCTGACTGAAGCAAACTGGAAAATAAAAATGCACTTTTTTCTTAACTCCCAAAAGAGGCATAGGCATATGATTGTGAACTCCTGGCAAGGGTTAGTTAAAAAAAGAAAAAAATTTACCTGCTAATTTGACTAATTCTGAATAGAAGATATGTAAAAAGCTGAATGAAATCACACTGAGATTAACTAGTTGTTGCTTCAGCCAAGAGATGAGGACTGAAGGAGGCAGCCGCAGCACGAAATGCAGTTATTATAAAAAATGCAGGAGACTCTTTTTCTCTTCCACAGGAAAAGGATTATTTTATTATTTTAAAACAACTACTTAACATTTACTCATAGGTAAAAATATTTACAATTTCACACCTTCAGGAAGGCTCCAAAATATAAACACTGTACCTCTCCCTAGAGAAAAAAAATTATTCTTCTCTTCAAAAACAGGAATACATTCATTTTTTCTCACTTTGTAGATCAAGTAATTATACAAATAAACATCTGAAACATTTTCTTTTTAATATATTTATATAATATATAACAGTTTTACAAATAAAGGCAACGACTTGATACCAAAATAAAAAGACGAAAAGAAAAAGTTAAAACACGATCGGCAATCGAGCATAGTGCATTTTGAAAAGCTGGTGCAGGGCTAGCTGGACAAATCAGGAAAACACATACTCCAGACCAAAAATAAAACTTCTTTGAAGGACAGAGAATTCTTTTTAGCAGTAAGGACACTCCGTATGCCATTGGGCAAGAGGAATTAGCCTACAGAAAGGATCTCGCTGCGCCAAGGGTTGGTTAGGCCTTTGAGAAGCTAAGCTTGGTTAAAAGGAGTTATAGGATGGAAATGAAAACCGAGTCTAGCTCTGTTGCAAGGCAGCAATTTATGACTCAGCTCCGTGCCCTCTGGGGTGCTCGGAACTTGTATGTCTGCATCTCTCAGACCTTGGTTTGGTTCCTTGGACAGCAAGTGCTAACAGTGAGACCAAGAAACAGGTGCCAAAGGCCCCGAGGAAGCTCCTCCCTCATTCCCTGGCAGCTCGGCTTGTATAAACCCGTTGCCATCGAGACAATTCCAACTCACAGCGACCCTGTAGGACAGAGTAGAACCGCCCCATAGTGTTTCCAAGGCTGTAAATCTTTTTACAGAAGCAGACTGCTACATCTTTCTCCCGCAGAAAAGCAGCTGGTGGGTCAGAACAGCCAACCTTTCGGTTAGCAGCCAAGCGCTTAACCGTTGTGCCACCAGGGCTCCTCCGGCTTGTACAAGGGGGCCCTTTTCAGTTCCTTAATAAGCTAACCACTACGAAGCCTGAGTAGGGAACTACATTCTCTTTATTCATCTGAGGCAGGGGTGGGAAGCATACCCGAGGGAAACCTCCTGAAACCACTGCCGTGCGATGCCAGTGTCTGTTACCTCACCACTTTAGCAGAATCGCACCCAGGCTCGGCCTGACTGCTCTCTCCTCATCTGGTGAGTCACTTCAACAATAAAGGGACAAGGGTGGGGTCAGAACAGCTGGCTGGGAGCTGTGCTCCGGAAAGCCCTCTTTTGAAAGTACCTTTTTCTCAAAGCCACAGACTCCCAAACTGAAGAGTGACTCACAGAAGCTTTTGAAAATCCAGCTGATTCCTATCAAAGGGAGGCTATTCTCCGGGTGGGGAAAAGCCCAGAAGTGTGCTACAATCCCCCCTAAATCTGCTGATGTCAGGCACTCCTTCATGTCTTCTCTAAGCCAAAAGGAGCCTTCATGTCCTATACCAACACTCAGGCACACAACGCACACATGCACACACACGCAGACACCCACACCCTGAATCTTCTCCCCACACCTCAGATTAGCTCGGCATACACACTGGAACAATCTCACTGCACTCCTAAAAACTTTTTTTTTTTTTTGAAGGAAGGGAGGAAGGAAAGCAAAGCAGCAGGGTCCCCTAAAGAATTTAGTCTTTGGTTTCCAAGTTTAAAGGGGGGATCTGCTTCAGAGCTTGGAGTAGAGCGGAAGAGTCGATGGACGGATGGGTTGGCAAGGGAGAAGGGAGTCTCTGGGGCATGAGCAAGGGAGCCGAGATCTTGTCTGGGTTCATGAAGCTGGTGAGGGCTGCAGCAGAAGCGTTGAGACCTGGGTATAACACTGGAACGGAGGTGGGATACCAGCACTTCTCCAGCATGGGCAGGTAGGCAGTTGCTGATGGTGGGATCAGATAGAAGGGTAGGCAAAAAGGAGGCTGGTGCGGGTGTGGGCCCAGGAATGGGGAGCCGATCAGGTCACTGCTAGAGAAATGGCTTTCATCATCTGAAAGCTGCATTCTGCCCTTTTTGGTGGGGGGTTCTTCGGATTCTTGCTTAATAGTGCCGATCCTTTCTCCCGTGGCAAACCTGCGTCCATGATCACTTTTGAAGTACGGCTGCTCACTGCGCAAGTCACCCTTCTCCAATTCTCCTCCGTAGCCACTGTCTGTGTCTGTGTCACTGCCGCTCTGCTCCCCACTCGAGTGAGGGAAAGTCCGCTGAATGACCGGTACACAGTTTTTCCCAAGCCCTTCTGAGCCTTTGGCCAGGGAGCTAGGTTTCTCCTTGAAGTCCATGGTTTTAGGAGCTGGGTCTGATGGCTTCCTGGAGGTACCATCTTGCAGCAGCTCTGAGACCACTCGGTGGAGGTGGGTGACGAGCTGGGAAGACTTCAGGTCCCGAGTGTTCTCGTGCTTGGCCAGGTACTGAAGCACCTCCCGAGCACACGTCTGGAAACCTGAGCAGAACATCTCTTGACCTGCATCAACATTTCTCCCCGACAGCTCACCTGGAGAAACACAGACCCAAAGGGAGACATTTCAGAAGGCCCTGTGGTTCACCTGGATATCTATATGGCCAAAGACTTTTTGTTAAAAAAAAAAAAAACAAAAAAAAACAGCATTTGCCCGTTTGTAGTTCTAATTCCGAAAGTAATATACTCAGAGGAAATTTGGGTTACACTGAGAAGTATAAAGAATAAAGTAAAAATAAATCATAATCCTACTGCTCAGAGATAAAGTATGGTTTTTAATGGCTGCATAATATCCCATCATGGAAATGGTCCATTATTAATAAGAGACCATTTTCTCTCTTCTTGAATGTGTAGATTGTGCCTGGGTTTTCGTCATTAGTGACACAGCAGTGAACATCCGGATGTGTTTATAAATTGAAGAGTCAATTTACAGAAGAGCATCGACTTATAGTGGCAAGATGGACAGAGGCCAGATAATCATAAAATAAACAATATCATTCAAAATAAGCTTACTTTCAATGACTTATAAAAGCTGCAGTCATGCTCTACTCTTTAAATAGGCTCTCTACTTTTAAGTTTTTTCTTATCTTCTTTCTCTATATAGCTGTCTCTTCTACATCTGTATCTGTCAACAACCACCAAGAAATTATGTACGATCATCTTCCTACTTTCCAATGCAGAAACTGGCAGAAAGCACTTGCTGGGTTTTTGTGATTCCCATCGGACTCGCCTTGGAAAGAAAGGCTGAGAAGAAAGGAATGAGGGAGTGGATAGAAGAAAGTCTCCAACAATCTGAACAGTATTACTTGGAAGGGGTGAGTCTGGAAGGTTAGAAGGTGACTCTGATTCTCTGGAAGTCAGTAGAAACGAATGATGAAACCTCAGTGGTTTCATTAGATCGTGCAATTCAACAAGATACCTAGTGGCTACTCAGGGAACCACATGAAATGCAGGAAAAAGTCCTGCTGTCATCCTGCCAGAATCACACCACACACGGAGCAGTAAGGAAGCAAAGAGACAGGAAATGCTGGGGCATACCCGTGATCTCCTCGCCAATGAAAGAGGGCTAAGACAACCAACTGTAAAACACCCACGATGTAAATTAGAGGTGCTTTGGCATTTTAAAGGGGAGGGGGAAAATCTCCAAGAATCCAGAAACTCCTAAGCCAAAATGCCACAGAAATATTTTATCATTGGACTAATCTGTATGCATGCCAGGTGGCACACAGCAGCATTCCAAATGAAAAATCTGACCGTTTAGGAAAGATAAAACTGCCTCTCCCCAACGAAGGTGCATAAGCAATTGGTTGTGGGAATGTTTCTTACACCAGATGCTGAAGCCCACAGGCTCTCTATTTGTGCTAGAACCCTTCCGACATGATAGCAGACTTGGGCACTCACCAGCTTGTAAACCACTCTGCAGGGCAAGGATTTTCTGTTGCTGCTGATCAATTAGGTTTGTTAGTGCTTTCACATGCTTCAACGTAAGTTCAAGAACCACTGCTTTTTCCAAGTGACCTAAAGTCTGGAATAAAAAGAAGCTTAGTCAGCAGTTAGGTGGGAAAAGTCCTACTTCTGGGACACTTACCAGCAATGAGAAATGTCTTTAAAGGGAAATGGAATTGCCTTTCCCGGTTGGCTAAATTCAGTTTTAAGTTCGTAAAAAACATTTTTAAAAAGTATATATACACACACACGCACACATTAATTTCTGATTAAAGAATAAAAAACTCGTGTCAGCTATCGTTGGAGGCATTCTGAGAGTGGCAGCTACCTCAGGAGAAAGCTCTGACAGATAAATTTCTCCAGCAGCCGCTGCTGACCTTAATGGAGGGGAATCCGGAGATAACATTTCTCTGCAGTGGTGTCAGTCCGATGAGGACTTCTACTGTGTCTGGCAGCCAAGAGGCTTTCCCTAGCTTCTTGCCTAACACCCTTCCAGAACTTCTAGCTCATCCCAGCTTTTTTCTTCCTCTCCCAATACTATTTTTTTTCCTTTCCCCAACCAAAGGCTGCCAAGCTAGTAAGCTGTTGGCTTCTGCCACGAAAGGACTGAACGTTAAGAATGACACACTAAAGCAAGTCCTCTCGTCGTTGTTTTAAAAGGGGGTAAATAAAATCTGCATGCTACATGGTCGGCTTCTTAAATTAGGAAAATCAGTGAACCGCGAAAATCACTAGAAGGGAAAATCTTAAACTCTTCAAAACATGAAGGCTAACTGATGTTGGAGGCGAGTTGGAGAGGTCCAAGTGGTTCTCACCTCATTTGTATGAGGCTTCCAGAAAATCCTAGGTCTGGGGAAGGGTACCTAACACCGAGCCACCCGCTAGCTCCGATCCGGCCGTCTGGTTTGCAGTTCCCAGCGGGGCCTGCAGGAGGCGAGTGACCCCGCCCCGGCCCGCTCTCCCGGCAGAGGCGCTGGGTTGGAAAGCTGCCAGATCCTCACTTACTGTAAGTTTGAGGTGTTCGGGTAGAAGGTCTTTCAGCTGGGCGATGCACTCATTAATCCGGTCACGTCTCTTCTTCTCGATGAGCCTGTGCGGCAGTTTGTACGTCTCCTGCAAGGCGCATAGGGAGTTGGTGGGCGCCTGGGGTAGCCGATGCAAAGACCCCCTGGCGCTAGAGGAGTCGCGCAGGGGGGGCAGAGTCACATCCAGAACCACCTTTTACTCTTTCTTTTCCAGACTACTCAGTAGGGGCACCTAGCCCACACCTTGCATCCCCCCGCCAACCTCAAAGCCGGAAAACTTTTCTTGGCAACTAAGCGCGCGCGAGGGGCTGGGACGCGATCCCAAGGGGCGCGGTGCGTTTACCTTACTGTCGTCGCTCCGCTTTATTCCCCGCCTCGATTTGTACACTTGGTACATGTGGGCAAAATCCATCCTGCAGGGAGAGGGGCCAGGAAGGGTCGTGACTTCGCGTGCACACCGACTGCAGGCGTCCTGACGGGGCAAGAACCCCCGGATGCGCCAGGAGCTGTTCCAAGTTAAGAGCCGCGCAGAACGCAGAGCTGGACTTAAGACTTGAAAGGTTAAAAGGTGCCAACTTACCCTGGTAGGTCTCCAGGTTCCAGTCCTGGCGCTTTGGGCAGGCAGGCGGGAGGTGGTTGCGCGCTGGGGATCCGCTCCATGGTGCGGCGAGCCGGGGCCACTGCGCGTTTCTGTCTGCGCTAGCGGGGCGTCGGGGTGAGGACTGTCCTGGAGGGGACTTCAGGGGTCTCTTCCAAGGGTTGCTCTGAGTCTGAGCTCCTTGTAATCCGCTGGGCTGCCGCAGAGCTGCGGCTTTGAGGTGTTGCTTCAGTTACGGGCGTGCATGGCCCGGTGTCCCGGCGGCTTCTGGCTCCGGCTCTGCGCTCAGACTGGCGGTGTGTGCTCCCTGCGCCGTCTGCGCCGTGCGAGCCAAGTGAATGAGAAGTGGGGCGGACGAGGAGGCGGGAGGGCGCGGGGAGGGCGGGGTGGGGGCCGGGGGGGGGGGCCGCGAGCCGAGGAGTAATGGAGAGGCTGCGGGCTGGGTTAAACGGGAGCGAGTGGGTGGGTTGGAGCTACGTGTTCTACCCTGTGACTCCAGGCACGTCTGGCCGCTCCCGGGGAGGGAAGGAGCGACCTGCCCGCCCTCCCCCGGCTTCATCACATGAGCCTCACGTGTTGGACAACGCTCCGGCGGCTGCGAGGGAGCCTCCACCCCCAGCCCCCAGGTGTCTGCGGCTGCGGCCGCCTTTCCCAGAAGAGGGGGAGGCAGAGCGGCCTGGGTCCTGCCCCCCCCAGGTGGGGGGCGCGGAAGCTGGAAGGGGCCTCGGAGCGAGGGGGTGGGGGTTGGTAACGTGGGCGAACCTGCCCCAGGGAAATGAAGTAAGTTCCCGTCTCCTGGGAGGGAACGGGGGAGGACGGATCCGCCCGCGTCTGACTCAAGCCGGGAGAGGAATATCCCCTTGCTCGCTCCAACCCAGCCCTCTTCCTCCTTCCCCGCCCGGCCCGCTCGGAGGAACCGCCGCGCAACGGAGGGACTCGCCCGTCCCCCTCCCTTCCCCAGAGGCTGGGGTTTCTTTCCGTCCCGGCTTCCCTGCCCCCACCCCCCAGCCCCGCGTCCAGGAATTGCCCGCCGCGAGGAGGGGCCGAGGGGCGGGGCGGATGTCACCCCATGGGAGGCGGGCTGGCAGCCAAGCCCAGGGGCAGCCGAGGCCGCTGTAGAGCACGCTGCGCGCACCTGACCGCCGAGGGTGTGCGGAGCGGGCTTCGTCCTGCCCGGGAGCACACAGCTCCCGGGCACAGCCTGACGGCGGGCGGGCACCCACTTACACGCCCCCCTGTGTGCCCTCGTGCCCCTCTCCCCGGGTAGTCAAGCAAAGAAAGAGACTGGGCGCTGCGCCGTCCGCTCCCTCCCTCCTCTGCCCTCTCCGGTGCAGAGGCGCTCTGGGTCGCCTCCCCGCCGGCTGTAACGTTACACAACCGCGGCGGCGGCGCCTGCCCTGCAGCAGCGCGGGGCGTGACGCTTCACGTGGCCGGGGCTCGGGCCGCCGCGCAGCGGACTGCACGCCCCTCTGCGTTGGCCCAGGGACCGAGACCCTGGGGACGTGGGGTGCCAGCCCGGGGTCGGCCAAATCCTTGCCTGCCAGGTACCTCGGCGACGCTTCTTGCGGTCTGAACCCATGGCAGGAAGAAAGAGAAGAGACAAAAAACGATTCGCCGTTAGAGTGAAGTCTTTGTATTCATACAGTAGATTGAGCTCCCAACTCTGTGCCAGGCATTATGCTCGCTGCTAGAGACACAGTGATGAATCAAACACGACCCTGCCCTTGAACTTACAGGAACCTCTGGGAGAAGGATAAATTGGGCAATGAGGGGAAGGCAGCCCTGGGAAAATTATATTGGGGCCACTGGCCGACTGAGAAAAAAAAAGGTTTGTTTATTTTTTTTAATTTAATTTAATACGAACCAAGACGCCAGGGTAGAGGAAGAGAAGAAGCTAATCCACTACCCCGAGTCTGGGGCAGAAAGGCCTCCTCCAGCGGCCCCAGATCGCTGCAATCTCGCTTAGGCCGCCGGAGGCCCCCACCTACCTCCCCCGGAAAAGTCCGGTCTGTGTGACCTTCTAACTCAGCCTGGAGCAGGGAAAACAGCTGAAACTCCAGCCAGGCTGTGTGAGCCGCGCTAATGCAGTCGGAGGAGGGAGCCAGTGGAAATTCATGACTAAAATAAGGCCTGGCTGGGGATTTCACTGACCTCTGCGCTCCCCTGCCCTGCAAATTCGGGGAGTTGAGAGATGACTGTTAAGCTTTCCCCACTTGCGGTCAGTCACCCCGCTGCTGAGTGACCTGGCTGTGCGAAGGTTGATTTTAAAAAAAATAGGGTCACTGGTGGGACTGGGTGCAGTTTGGAGGGTCAGTATTAATGGCAGTGTTCTTGACGAGCTAGGGAACTGGGATTCACACGTTGACCAAACTGGGAGTGTATTTCCTTCAGGTCGCTTTTGGAGAGCTCCCACTTCCTGTTTATGTTTCACAAGCGTCAAACTCTTTAGCAAGTGTGAGAAATGCCTCCTTTTCTAACTGCTAACTGGTGTGACCTCACTTAGGGGGCTCAGCGATCCCTTCCTTCCAGAATGTACTTGTGCTGGCTTTTGTTACCAGCCACCCCTCTGGAGGAAGTGACTGCGCCGCAGCTTCCTGCCTGGAGGTGGGCAGCAGGACCAGAGGATAAGGCGGGGGCTGGAGTCCCTGAGTAGCGCAAGCAGTTTGTTCTCGTCTAAAAACCTGAAGGTTGGCAGTTCAAACCCACCCCCGTGGTGCCATGGAAGAAAGGTCCCTCGATCTGCTTCTATAATGATTACAGCCAAGAAAACTCTATGGAGCAGTTCTACTCTGTAACACATGGGGTCACCAGGAGTCCAAATTGACTCAACACCAATGGGTTTGGGATTTTTGGGGGCGGAGGGGTGGGTAGGGGGAGGAATCGGCCCTGGGTATGTGCTTTCAGTCCCGGGTGACTGCTCCATTGTTCTACTTTAATCAGAGTGAAGACTTTTCATGATTGCATCAAAAGCACAGTTCCACCAGGAAGTAAGCACAGAGGGAAAAAGGAGCACATGCCCCCCCCCCCCAGCTGTCACTCCCTCCCCCATGCTGGGAGTGAACTCAAACGGTTCAGCTTCCCTGGATTATGGCTCATGACAATATCATTTTTAGAATTCTTTCAGGTTATCAGTACTTTTTGCCCTTACCTACCCTGGAACTGGAGACAACCAAATGTATGCATTTCCTACTTTTTATTTGTTCCAAAGGTACTCTCAAGCTTCAAGAAGTTTCCCCACCCTACCAAAGTTCTACCATATCTGGATTTTTTTAAAGTCTGTTTTTGTCTTCTCTATAGTTTATTTACATTTTATTAACTTAAAACAATTCCTTTCCAGCATGCATCTTTCCATCCTGAAGAATCTTAATATTTTCAGTCTGTCATCTTTTGTAGATACTTGTTTGATGCTTACGGTGTGCTAGTTTTTGGAGTCTTGGTGGCACAGCGGTTAAGAGCTACGGCTGTTAACCAAAAGGTCGGCAGTTCGAATCCACCAGCTGCTTCTTGGGAACCCTATGGGGCATTTCTGCTCTATCCTATAGAGTAGCTATGAGTCGGAATCGACTCAATGGCAGTAGGTTTGGTTTGGCTGTGCTAGCTTTTAGACTGTATGCTAAAAGCTTTATGTATGTTAATTCCTTTGCACCTCACTGCCACCTTGTAAGGCAGATATTAGCTCCTTTTTGCATTCATTTAACACATATTTATTCAGAACCACTATGTGCCAGACACTGAACTTCACAGGGATATATAACATGTCCTCTTGAGGAAAGTGAAGCTCAGAGAGTTTAAATTACCTGACCCAGGTTATATGGCTTGGTCTTAAAGCTAGGACGAGAGCCCAGGTTTGTTGGGTTCCAAAGCCTGTGTTCTTCATCACTGTTCTTACGGCTGCCGGGTAGGGTTGTGTGGGTTGTGCACTGCTCAACTCCAGGAGACATTCTCATTGCAGTCTCTGTGAGTGTGCGCTCTGGACTTAGTTGTGCTGCATTGGGTAACCTGCCATTTTGGAACCCTCCCCCTTTGTTTTGTCTCTTCTAAGTGTGGAGAGAACATAATTTTATTCAACGGAAAGATGGGATTTTTCTTGTCTTTCTTAATGAGGCTCAGCATCTTGGCAGCCTGAAGCTGTGTGTTGGAAGAGTCTATGCGGTTACTGTCTACAGTGACTCCCAAGTCCTGCTGGTGGAAAAAGCTTGAGCACACAGACACACACCTCCCCCCCACCATGTGCCCACATCTTTCTTGCTCAGATAATCATTTTTTGCCTGTTTATGGACTCTCCAGGGTCCCTGAGTAGCGCAAGCAGTTTGCAATCAGCTGCTAACCTAAACGGTGGTTCAAGCCCACCCACCCACACTGCAGAAGAAAGGCCTGGTGATCAGCTTCCGTAAAGATTACAGCCAAGAAAACCCTATGGAGCAGTTCTACTCTGTAGCACATGGGGTTGCCCGGAGTCCACATCTACTCAAGAGCAACAGGTCTGGTTTTTTGTTTTTTCCATTGCTTAACATGTTTTTGAGATTCTTCCATGTTGTTAACATATATTAATAGTTCTTTTATTGCTGAGTATATGTCATTGTATACATATAATGCAATTTGTATATCCAGTCAGTCTGCTGTTGATGGACATTTGAGTTGTTTCGAGTTTGGGACTGTTATAAATAAGGCCGCTATTAACTTTCTTGTACAAGCCTTTTTGTGAATGTGTTCCTGTTTCTCTTGGGTAAACAGGAGTGGAATTGTTGGGTCATAGGTTAAATATATGTTTGACTTTATTACAAATTTCCAAGCACAACTCCAAAGAGGTGGTACTATTTACAATCTTACCTGCAATGTACAATTCTAGTTCAGTAGACAGTTCTAGTTGCTCCACCTCCTCAATAATATTTACTGTAGACAGCTTTTTAAAACTGTAGCCCCACTAACAGGTGTGAGGAAATGGTGGCATAGTGGTTAAGAGCTATAGCTGCTAACCAGAAGGTCGGCGGTTCAAATTCACCAGGCGCTCCTTGGAAACCCTGTGGGACAGTTCTACTCTGTCCTATAAGGTCTCTATGATTTGGAATCGACTAGACAGCAACGGTTTTTTTTAAAAATGGGCGTGAGAGGATCCCTGGTGGTACAATGGTTAAGCCCTTGGCTGCTAATCTACCACTCCATGGCACTTGGCTTCGTAAAGATTTCAGCCTTGGAAGCCTTATGGGACAGTTCTCTTCCTCCTCCGGGGCAGCTGTGAGTTGGAATTGACTTCATGGCACACAGCAACCACAACAACAATGGGTGTGAAGTGGCATTGTATTGTGGTTTAAATTAGCCTTTCGTTGGTGACTGATAAA